CCCCTCCCCCTCTCCCACATCGTCAGCTTCAACACCTTCAACTTCCCTTACCTGTCAGAGTCTTGCAGACACGTCAACATCCCGATCACTTCTCGCACGATCTTGATCTGCGTCGCCTGCCTCGGCTCCTCTCCTCCTCCCTCTCCTCTCCTCCACCACCATGTCAGCAGTAGCTCGCTCCACCGAGCGCTCCAGCGTGTCCCAGCAGAGGCTCCACATGCTCGGGGGCAGCTGCTTGACCTGAGCGAGAAGCAGCTCCTGGAGGTGACGTGGCAAAAGAAGTGAGGAGAGGGGCGAGAAAAGAGGAAGGAGGAGAGGAGGAGAGAGGAGGAGAGGAGAGAGGAGGAGAGGAGAGAGGAGAGAGGAGGAGAGAGGAAGAGAGGAGGAGAAAGGAGAACGAGGAGAGGAGGAGAGAGGAGAAAGAGGAGAGAGGGAGAGAGAGGAGATGAGGAGAAAGAGGAGAGAGGATAGAGGAGGAGCGAGAGAAGAAAGAGTGGGGATCAGAGATCAGAGGAAGGAGAAAAGAAAGGAGGGAGGGCAAGGAAGGGAACTAACCCTCATAGAAATTAAGGATGCGCTCGCAACCTTCTGTGATCCTGAGAAGGAGAAAGTCAGAGAAGACAAGGAGAGGGAGAGAAAGATGAGAGCCGAGAGAAAAGAGGAGGGGGGATACAGAAAGGAAGGAGGAAGAGGAAGAGAAGGAGCAGGAGCAGGAGCAGGAGCAGGAAGAGGCGGAGGAGGATGAGAAGGAGAACGACGATTAGGACGAGGACGAGGATGAGAAGGAGGAAGAGAAGGAGGAAGAGAAAGGAGAGGATAAGGATCAGGACGAGGAAGAGGAAGAGGAAGAGAAGGAGCAGGAGCAGGAGCAGGAGCAGGAGCAGGAGCAGGAACATACCACTGAGGATCGCGGACTCGAGGTGAGACATGAAGGATAGCCAAGCAGCGTCGGCTGAGGACAAGGAGCGGAGGACGTGAAAGTAGATCTGGAACATCCTCGCTACTCCTTGGAAAGCAGTTTCCCAGGTTGCATGCCACTGCTGCAGTGTGAGGAGACGAGAGGACGACGGCAAGGGGAAGAGGAGAAGAGAGGAGGTGAGGAGAGGCGACGCGAGTAGAAAAATTAGAGTGGGAGAGGATGATAGAGGATGTCAAGGAGGGGTGGTGGGAGAGAGGAAGGGGGGGAAGGGGAGGGGACCTGGTTTGCTCAGCGTGTTCC